GTCTAGGTTGGTCATAGCTTTTCTTCCAAGGAGTAAACGTCTTTTAATTTCATGGCTGCAGTCACCATCTGCAGTGATTTTGGAGCCCAAGAAAATAGTCTCTGTCTCCATTGTTTCCCCATCTATTTGCCATGAAGTGATGGGACTGGATGCCATGATCTTAGTCTCCTGAACATTGAGTTTTAAGGCTCACACAGCAGGCAGAAAATTTGTCCTGCCACCTGTTTTCCTAAAGCTTTGCAAACTAGGAAGTGTTTTCCTGTTTTTAACTGGTTGACGAAGAAATCAAAAGAGGACTATTTGGTGACACAGAAGAAAGACATGAAAGTCAGAATGTAGTGCCTGTGAATAAAGTTTTACTGGGACACAGTCAGCCCCACCCACTCATCTGCATATTTGCATACTGTCTGCGGCTACTCTGGTGCTGTGATGGATGAGATGGCCCACAAAGGCTTAAATGTTTATTATCAGGCCATCGGCGGAGAAAGTCCTCCTTCCTCCACGCTCGAGTCAAAGAATGATCCTGCACAAAGGCAGAAAAATGAGAGGCATACTTAAGTCATCCTTTAATAAACCAAATTAAATGACTATGTCAGAGCCCCTAAGAACCTTCTCTACTCAGTTAAACCCCCAGAGCAAGAATCAACTCAACCTGTGTGGCCTCAACTCACGAACAACGAACGTGGCCTGAGACACGTCCACCGAGCTGGTCACATTTCAGAAAAGCGAATCAGAACATCGTGACCAGGGTTCCGTGGTTCTCCCAACAAGTGCTTTCGTTCTGGGCTCTGGGATGAGGTCTGTTTCTTTCTCAGCTGCACAAGCCTCTTCCTTGTTAAGCTGGGGTCAAACACGGACAGATCGGCCCAGGTCGCGGTGGGAAGGAAGGGGTGAGGTGCCGGGGTGCTCCCGGTGCCCTTCCTCTCCTCACCCCCCAGGAACAGACTGGAAGCTGCCAGTCCCCCTGGGACCTGTTTACCCACCTTTGGTCTCGAGTCTGAGCTCCATGAAAGCCCTGGGACGAAGCTGGGAACTGTCTCCTCCGACGACAAACAGGTTCCGGATACACGACGTGAGATTCCCGGGGGTCCCTTTCCTCCTTCGTCCTTTGCAGATTGAGCAGTGAGAATGGGCCCCGTCTGGGGTGAGCTGAGCAGAGTGCTGGGGCCAGTGCAAACCAGAGGAGCAGGAGCGGGTGGTGTGTGTCCCTCCTCACGTCCCCGTCCCACCCGGACACCTCGTGAGACCCGGGCAGGGGAGAAAGGGAAGCCCGAGTGCAGGTCCTAGCGCGCCCAGCACGACCCTCAGCAGGGGCCCTTACAGAGAGAAAAGAAAACCCTCCAAACCGGGCCGCCTCCTGGTGGGCCTAATAGTTTCCTCCACGTCAGGCCTACTCTGCTCCTCCTCCCGCCGAAGCAAGCTTACAGCTACCAGAGGGAAAACCCTGGTCGGGGGGAGATAAATCAGGAGCTGGGAGGAAGTCACACTACTGTACGTAAGACAGACGACCAGGGACCCACTCTACAGCACAGGGAACTCTGCCCGACAGTCTGTGATAAACGTTAGGGGGAAAGAATCTGAAGAATAAAAAGGTGCATGTTTACATATAACTGAGGGCTTCCCCGGTAGCTCAGATGGTAAAGAATCTGCCTGCTATGCAGGAGACCTGGGTTCGATCCCTGGGTCGGGAAGATCCCTTGGAGAAGAAAATGGCAACCGACTCCAGTAATTTTGTCTGGAAAACCCCACGGACAGAGGAGTCTGGTGGGCTACAGTCCATGGGGTTCAAAAGAGTCGGACATGACTGAGCTACTAACACTTACGTGTAACTGAATCACTTTGCCGTACACCTGAGTCTAAGACAACGTTGTAAATCAACTATGCCCCAAATAAAATTCTAAAATCATAATAATCTGCCACAGAGGCGGGTGGTGAGCGGCGGGGTCATCACTAGAGCTTGTGCCCTGACCCTCCAGCCACTGACCCACTGACCCACTGACCCAGTGACACATGAGGGGTTAGGTTTAGTGTTGGTGGGGGGGCGGGGTTGCCCCTTTGATCTGCATCTCAGGGATGCAGAAAATTAAGAGAGGTGCCTGGAAGCCCAACTCATGCACGAGAGGCGTGAACGAGAGCCACCCCCTCTAAAAAGCCCCTGCCTGGTCTCGCCGTGAGCCCGAGGCGCTCGGTAACCTTTGTTTCTTGGGCTCCTCACCAGGTGCATGCGGCCCGCCTGCCCCAGCAGGGCCCCTTCCAGAACTTCATGGACCTGAAGGCGGAGAAGAGGCTGGCCGGCCGCAAGGAGCGTCGCAGCCGCTTTGGAGACATCAACACTCACAAGTCTTATCAGTTTGGACAGATTTTCTGCCCTTTCCAGGCCCTTGCCACCACGGTGAGCAAGCTTTTCTTCTGCTTTCTTCCATAACTTCTTTTAGTGAGAACCGGGACAAAACCCAGGGCTTCCTTCCTTTGGAGGGATACATTAGTCAGTTCTGGCCACAAAACAAATTACCCTAAAACTCAGTGGCTTACGCTGGCAAGCATCTACATTTCTTCCTCGCTAGCTTAAAGAGAAATATATTCATTCCACTTTTTCTCACTGCAAGTCCACAGGGTAGGAGAAGTAAGAATTGAGAATAATCCCAACTATCACAAAAGACTAAATCCAGTCTACCTACAGGTCTGTGACCCCAGATTCAGGGAAAGAGCTGAAGGCAGGTGGCCACGGTTGTGTTCAGAAACACAGCCATTTCCAGAAGAGGAAGAGGCCTGGGGAGAGAGGGATCTTTTGTGATAAAGGATGATGGTGCTGGTTCCTTCTTCCTCACCTGTCACCTTCGGGACCCAGGTCAATTCAAGTCGGACTGTTCCGGGAGGCAGGTCCTTGAAACTCTTGCTGTTATGTCTTCATGGTACTTTGTAGAGTTGCAGTCTTAGCATTCTAAAATTTGAGCGTGCGTGTGAATCACCTGGGGGACGTGCCTGGTGGCTCAGCGGTAAAGAATCCGCCTGCCAGCCCAGGAGACACAGAGATGGTTCAGTCCCCGGGTCGGGAAGATTCCCTGGAGAAGGAAAGGGCAATCCACTCCATTATTTTTGCTTGGATAATCTCGTGGATAGAGGAGCGTGGCAGGCTACAGTCCATGGGGTTGCAAAGAGTCAGACGTGACTTAGGGACTAACACAACAACGAAATGAACCACTTGGGAAGCTTGGTAAAAGTGTAGATCCCCCAGGCCTGTGCCGTTACCACACAGGGCGTCTTGGGTGTCTTGGACAGGCCCTCAGAGTTTCCCTTTCTGATGAGTTCTCTATGTCCCATGTTCATGTATCATCACTCAGCAGGGCTTCCCAACCCCGCTCACTCCGTCAGTGCCCCTCTGGCTGATGGCCAGCATGCCAGGCCGCCTGTAACCCGTTCCCAACTCCATCATGTACACTGGAGCCCGGGTCAGAAACTTCTACCCATCGGCAGTTCCCATACTTCCCTGAACTTCACAGTCGCCTGGGCAATCACGCTCCTCCGCATCTTCCCTCCCCCAGAGCAGAGATCAGAAGCTCTGGGGGTGAGTCCCCAGCAGCAGCATGCTGTAAAGCCCCTCTGGCAGGGTGGCCAGTTCACCCCAGTTTCCCTAGGACTGACTTGCCTGGTTTTCCTGGGACTTCGTATCTTTTAACACTAAGAGTTCTGAGTCCCAGGACCCCGCAGTCCTGGTTTTAAAACGGAGTATCTCAAGTCCCTGGAACTCACGCAAACCGTGTGGTTGGTCACCTGTCCACTCGTGATTCCAAGGTGCAGCCACTCAGAGAAGTCTGCACTCCGACCTTCGCGCGCCAGCCCCAGCGCCTCCTCTCACAGGTCACTGCTGCCCGTCTTCACAGCCGCTGACCAGTATCCCCTGCGGAGGGGCCACGTGCCCAAGCCAGGCATGCTGGAGCACCCAGACATGGAGTTTCAACCCCACCCTCAGGGAGGGCAAGCAAACTGAGCCACATGCTTCAAACACGAGTAAAATGGACCAGTAATGACAGCGGCGCCATAAACTGATGGGCCCAGAAGGAGATGAGGGCTATCTGAGCTGGAGATGCTTCCTGCTAACCCAGCGCCGCCCCCACGCCCCTGAGGCCTTTCTGAAGTACAGAGTCTCTAGGCGGGGGTGATGTGTCTCGGTAGGGACGGCCTCTCAACACGCAGGGTCACCTGGGAAGAGAGGATCCCTGTGAGCTGAAGATAGTAGGACCTTGTGCGGACTCCTTAGTGTGGGGCAGGTGTGGTGCCAGAGCCCTCACGAGGCCTTGCGCTTCATGACCTCCATCATATGAACATCATCCGCGTTTTATCCACGAGGAGACAGAGGGCAAGACGTTAAGGGATTGGCTCGAGACGGCTGCCAGTCAGAGCCAGAGCCGGGACGTGAGGCTGCTGGGCCGGAGCAGGTACCCCCGGCCCCATGCTCTAGTCTGCTTTTTTTTTTTAACTGAAGTACGTATATACAGTGGAATATTACTGAACCAGAAAAAGAACCAAGTAATGTCAATTGAAGCAGTCTGGATGGACCTAGAGATTACTGTACTAAGTCAGACAGACACAAATACCATATGATATCATTTATATGTGGAATCTAAAATCTGATGCAAACAAACTCATCTGCAAAACAGAAGCAGACTCACAGATGCAGAGGACAGGCTCGTGGTGGCCAGGGTCCGGGGCTGGGGGCGGGGACTGGGGGTCTGGGGTCAGCGGGTGCAAACGCGTGCACAAGGGGTGGTGCAGAGCAAGGCCCCCCTGGGCAGTACAGGCAGCTGCTGCTTTCACGTTTTCAGTGTAGACTTTTCCTTCAGTATTGGAGTATAACCGATGAATAGTGTTGTCGCAGTCTCCCGTGGGCAGCCAAGGGACTCGGCCATGCACGTGACAGGGATGCGTTCTCCCCAGACTCCACTCCCACCCAGGGTGCACACGAGACTGAGCGGAGCTCCCCGTGCTCAGCAGCAGGTCCTCGTTGGTTCTCCACTTTAAACAGAGCTGGGTGTAGGTGACCATTCCAAACTTCCTACCCTTCTCCCCATTGTCTCCCCCCAGCCGTGAGCAGGGAGCTCCAGTGTGGCCATTATTCTCTGCCCGACAGGAGATGCGAAGACTGGTTTTCCCTCGAGAGCTGCCCATGAGCCCACACATGCGGAGACTGGGCATCTCCTGCCCCGCTGCAGGGAGTCTTCAGGACGTACCCTTGCCTTCCGCAGAACGGGGCTTGGGCAAGGACGCCAACAGCAACGAAAGGGAGAGACCATCAAGCCACGTGAAAACACCTCTATTCCCCCCAATAGTTAAGGCAGCAAAATCTAATGACAGGAAATAATAAACATCGCAAAACTGCATTTTGGCCTCTCGCTGCAAGGCTTTGGATTAAAACGGCTCCCCAGGACTTGAAAATCGCTCATTCTCTAACCCAACGTAAGGCATTCCATCAACATGCCTCTGTGAACAGTCTGGGAAGGATGACCTACTTAGAAGCTGCAGATGCCCAAAGAGAACCGAATCCTCCACGAGTCCACTTGTCTCAGGTCTCCGAAAATACACAGGAGGAGGTGGGTACAGGTCAATGAACCAAGGGCCCCACTCTTTCCATCCTTCTGGTCTACCAGCACCAGAGTGTTGTATGGTGACCTTGGGGTTAGCTCTGTGTGGTCACAAAACACTTGGCACTGCACCAACACCACATCCTCACAGGAGCACATCTAACCCTGAAAGGCTGAAGTTTCTGCCCACGTTTCACACACACACACACACACACACACACACACAGCCAGCCAGAAGGAGAACCTCCCCCAGCGACCGCTGAGCAGATTTCCCAGCAACTCTCCTTGGCAAGGATGTGGCTCGCCCATGCTGTGACCACAAGGGAAGCTGGGAAGACAAGTATTGGATATTTGCTGGGGGCAAGTTCTGCCATTAGGAAAACTGCTGATAAGCAATGAGTGTCTGCTACCCTGGGACACTCCCTAGTTTGCAGCTCAGACCCTTGGAGTGAGACATTCCTACTTAAGCTGAGTGAAGACCTGGCTTCTTACGGTTTCTAAGCATGCATCCTAAGGTTGCTCTTCCATGTTATTTAGCTTTCATTTTTCATTTTAAAAGTAACATATGTTTATAATAAAAGTTACTCAAAAATACAAATAAGAAAGGGCTTCCCTGGTGGCTCAGTGGTAAAGAATCCTCCCACAATGCAGGAGACTCAGGCTCAATCCCTGGGTCGGGAAGATCCCCTAGAGTAGGCAGTGGCAACCCGCTCCAGTGTTCTTGCCTGGAGAATCCCGTGGACGGAGGAGCCTGGGGGGCCACAGTCCACGGGGCCACAGAGAGGCGGAGAAGACTCAGCCACTGAACGGCCACAATAAAAAAGAAAACAACCACCCAAGTCCCAACACTGAGCAACAACCAGCGTTTGCATCTGGAAACTTTTAGATGGCTTTTCAGTCTTTTGTTTTTATTGTTCTCTGGGCCTGCATCTGTTTTCCAGACTTATTTTCTGGCTGCACCACAAGGCATGTGAGATGTGAGTTCCCCGACCAGGGATCCAACCCATGCCCCTGCACTAGAAGCCCAGAGTCTTAACCACTGGACAACCAGGCAAGGCCTGCCTTTTCTGCAGTCTTGACTGGGTTGCTTTTTGCCACCACTGCCCAGCACCTCTCAGAGAGTTTGCATTACAGCTTTGTCCACAGGCACGCGGTCTACCCTTTCCTTTGAACTTTTGACTATACTAAACAACTTCCCCCCAAACTAAAAACAAAATCTATTCCTTCTTTATTTGTGAACTTTAGCCATTTTTGCTGATTCCCAGAGCTTAATTTTTTCACATCAGCAAGCTTATTTCTGAGCCACAGGACATGCACGCATGGCACGGTCCCCTCCTCTCCGGCACACGCCTCCTTCAACCCCAGGCAGACGGCTCCCTTTGCAATGACGCTGATTAATTCAATTGTCTACTTGTTTTTCCTCTGACTGCTGTGATTCACGATGACATAGGCAGAATTAGCCTTTCCCATCTCTCTTAAGCCAGGGATTCACACACTGTGGCTCTCAGGTCAAAGCTGAGCTTCCTGGTTTTTTACATAAAGTTTTACGGGAAAGGCAGACACATGCACTTGTTAGCACATCTTTTACTGTGGCTTTGGGGCCACAGCAGCAGAGCTGACCGGTTACAACTGTGATTCTACAGTTTAGAAAGCCGAAAATATTCACTCTCTGGCCCCTTACAGAAAAAGCTGTCTGTTCTTTCTTAAACCAAATTCCCCTTTATGATTTCCAACTAAGGGATTCTACTTGACTTATTTCCACTTCGTAAAAATATCCTTGAAATCTGGAGTCCATGACTACGTCCATCGACCAGCAGAGGAAGTCAGGAAGGTATCCAGGTCTCTTTCTAGGAGGACGTGGGGTGGACAGCTCTCTGATTCTGCCCAGCGCACTCTGCCAGCACACAGGCTAGGCTGCTATCTGGTGAAGAGACCATCCTGTGTGTCTCTGCATGACCTGATGGTGTGTGGAGAAGCTTCTGTCTTTCTCTCCTTTTATTCTAACCATGAGCCACCACTTCACACCGGCTTCCACTTCCAGGCAGAGAATTCCATACAGAAAGACCGGCTTTGTATGGATGCCAGGGAGGGTTTAACGTCAGCTACCCCACCTGGGCACTCTGCTTTCTTTTATGCAAGGTGCAAACTTCCACCTGGACTCAAGCAGAGATACAGCTCCGAACAATCACAGTGGAATGCAGGGAGAGCTTGAGACCCAAGGAGGAGACTGCCCACACTTAGACCACGTGCCCAGGCATGAAGAGGAAGAACGATGAGTGAAATTCACAACTGACAATGAATCTGCTTTACATACATCTTTGCAGAAACCCATTAATGCACCGAGCGAGATCTACACAGACAGTCCTAGATCTGCTCTAGGACTTGAGCAAGGCAGGACTCAGATGAAAATAATAAAAACCACACCACCAGCGTATCCTGACTAATTACTTTGTTCTGCACACTGTATTCAACGATTCTGTGGGGCTTCCCTAAAAAATTAGCATTATTTACCTCCTGATGACTTGGGCTTCCCTGGTGGCTCAGAATCCGCCTGCAATGTGGCAGACCTGGGTTAGATCCCTGGGTCGGAAAGATCCCCTGGAGGAGGGCATGGCAACCCACTCCAGTATCTTTGCCTGGAGAATCCCATGGACAGAGGAGCCTGGCTGGCTACAGTCCACTCACTCAAACAGTCAGACAGGACTGAGCGACTAAGCAGAGCGCACAGCATATCCCCCGGTGGCTCAGTGGTAAAGAACCTGCCTGCCAACGCAGGAGACACTGGGGTTGATCCCTGATCCGGGTAGATCCCACAGGCAGCGAGGCAAGTAAGCCCGTGCACCGCAACTATTGAGCCTGTGCTCTGGATCCTGGGAGCTGCAACTTCTGAAGCCTGTCCGCCTAGAGTGCGTGCTCTGCGACGGGAGACGCCTCCGCAGCGAGAAACCCGCGGCGCCGCAACAAGAGAGGAGCCCCCAGTCTCTGCAGCCAGAGCCAAACCAGCACAGCAATGAGGACCCAGCACAGCCGAAAATAAATAATGAAATTACATACAACTTAATCCACACTATTATCCCCCTGAATTAATCCACCATCATCAAGGCTGAGAAAACTGACCTTTAAAGAGATTATAACGGCATCAGGCAGGCACTGGGTGGGCAGCCTCGCAGCCCAGCCGCGTCCCCCCAGGCTTGCCCCGGGCAACAGCCCCATTAGCATTGTGTATCTCACACACTTGTTTAGAAACCGCCACACACGTCCCTACCCACGCCTGCCCTGTGGTTTATTTGTCCTCTGCTCTTTCCTACGCTCTCTTGATATAATAACCCCTGCACACGCGACGAGTGTTAATGGAGTCATCTGTCACTGCTGGTAGATAACATCTTGCAGTTTTCCCTCCCTGCTGCCTCCTAGAGCTGATGCCTCAATGTGAGCGCTTCCCCTCCTGGCCTTGGAGGGGGCGAGGACCCGGAAGGGAGACGTTGGGCTTTTAATAGCAGGGTGCCCAGGGACAGGGTCCGGGGCGAACAGGCAGAGAGGAGGGGAGCTCTGGGTATTGCCAGCAGCTTCGAGCTGGTTTGGGAGAGCTTGGTCACTCAGGACGGGACAGCCTTGGGCGTGACGCCCGTGCGATGTTGAAGAGTACAGCTCCTGGGGAACAACCTCGGTGTGATTGCTTAGGCCTGAGCGTCCGCAGTTGCAAGGCTTTCCCTGGCAGGTCCCAGGCCAGGCCTGCTGGCAGTCACGCACTGCTGACTCTGAAGGTTCCCCTGGCCTGCTGGCATTCCACACCCTCGTCTCTCAGTGAATGGGCAGAGGGGATCGGCTCCAGGACCCCCTGCGGATGTTAAAATTATGGGATGCTCAAGCCCCTTACTCAAAACTCTCTGCTTGTAACCTTCACACACTCTCCTGTACACTTTAATTATCTGCAGATTAATTACAGCACCTAATATACTGTTGACACCATGGGAACAGTTGGCCGTGGGGGGAAGGTTGCAAATTCAAGTTAGGCTTTTTGGAATTTTCTGGAGCCTTTTCGCACAGTGAGTTGAATGCAAGGATGAGGGATCCGCAGCAACAGAGGGCCCACAGTGCTCGCAGTCCCAGCGCTGGCGCTTCCTTCCCTGGTGTCTCTCTGCAGCCTGGGCAGGAACGGGCTTCTTCAGGAGCTAGGCTTCCTCTTGGGACAGAAGCGGGGAGGCCCTTGAGACCCTGTCCCCACCCTGACCCAGGACACCCCGCTCACTCCCCGCCTTCCCCTCCCTGGCCATTCCTGAGCCAGCCTCAGGGTCCCCTCGCAGAGACACGACCCCTGGCCCACTCTGATCCAAACTGCAGGGAGGAAGGTGGGGCGGGGTCACCCTTTTCTGAGGCTTCTGACTGTTTCTGGGCCGGTCGCAGTCGTGTTTGAAGGCTTCTCTCCCACATTCTCGGCATCTGCCCTGGATCAGGGGCTCAGCTCCCCGTGGCTCCCAGAGCTCACGGCAGACGCCCCCGCGGCCCTTCTCGGGATAGAAGGGGGGGTGACGGGGAGCCTGGAAGATATCCAGCGCGTAACGGGTTCAGGACAGCAGCTGCCATGGCTTCCTCCTCACCTTTTCCAAGGCTTGATTCTAAGCCTCGCATCCAGACCTCTGTGCGCACGTGTGCGCACACGTTTGTGTGCACATGTGTGTGTGCATGCACACGTATGTGAGTGTGTGTGCACCATGAATTCAGGGAAAAACTGACTACAGCCCTCAGTCTGCGATGCCCCCCGCCCCGCCCCCCAGAGAACCCCACCTTTCTCTCTGATGCTCACATTTCTCCCCAAAGTGGAGAAACTCTGCTGCCCAAAGTGCGGAGCCCCCGTCTCGCAGACAAGGCCGGCCTGGGGAACCTTAACCACCGTCTCTGCATAACTGAGCCCCAAGCTCCAGGACACAGATCTAGCAACAAACTGCTATCACAGAGCTCTGTTTTTCCTACAGAAAGAGCAAATGACAGAGATCTACCATATGGCAGAGGGAACTAAACTGAATAACCTGTAGTGGAAAAGAATCTGAGAAAGAATATATAGATATAATAAGGATATGTATATATTTGTCTATAACTGGATCATTTTGCTATACACCTGAAACTAACACAACATCGTAAATTAATATGCTGTGCTGTGCTATGCTTACTCACTCAGTCGTGTCCGACTCTTTGGGACCCCATGGAGTGTAGCCCACCAAGCTACTCTGTCCGTGGGGATTCTCCAGGCCAGAATACTGGAGTGGGTAGCCTCTTCCTCCTCCAGAGGATCTTTCCAACCCAGGAATCGAACCCAGGTCTCCCGCATTGCAGGCAGATTCTTTACCAGCTGAGTCACCAGGGGAGCCCAAATTAACTATACTTCAATTTAAAAAGTGAACTGAAGAACAAAAACAGCAAGTAGCCTGCCCCATTTCTTTATGATTTTGTTATATCAGGAATGTTCAAAAGAGTCTTGCTCCTCATAAGCAGGCCTGGGTCTCACATTATCCACATCCTTGTGAAGCCAAACAAAGCAGAAAAAAAAAACCAAGATGTGCTCACAGCTTTGTTTTGTTTCTATTTCTTGCTGACTGGGACTAAATGCTGCCATATGCTGAGAAAATATCCAGCGTTTGCATGTTGGGTTTTTTCCTTGTTTAGTTTTATCTGGTCGAGTCACGGAGCCGTTGGCTACGGAAGCCTATAATCTGTACTTCGTGAATAACCATGGAATTGAGCGATTGCAGTCACGGCTGCGGCTGCTGTGTGGACAGTCTTCGGGGTTTGTTTCCAATTTTTTTTCTGGAATGCCCAGAAAGGGAGCATGTGAGTTGGTTCTCGGGGTTCCTGTCCTGGAATCTGCAGCCTTCTTCCAGGAGTGATGAAGGTGAGGAAGCAGGGCTGTGGAACCCCAGGGAATCCAGCTTGGGAGAGTTTCCCAGGGTGATTTTCTGGGTTTGTTTGTTTGTTTTGGTTGGAAAGTTGGGAAAAGCTAGATCTGTGCAGAACACACTTCAGTGTTTGGAAGGGTCTTTTCAGAGCTCTGTGTCATGGGAGTAACTGTCTGCAGACAGGCTCCCCACCTCAGTGCATCAACACAAGCCTACTGCTTGATATCTCAGCACATAGATGGTGGATGGATGGATGGATGGGTGGTTGGGTGGATGGATGGAGGGATGGAGGGATGGGTAGATGGATGGATGGATGGATGAATGGGTGGTTGGTGGATGGATGGGTGGATGGATAGATGGATTGACCACTGAATATTCTTAGGACCCAGAATTGCTTTAAGTTAATCAGATACACGAGAAAATTATAATGCTTCAAGGTGCCAATCTTTCAACACTCCAAGTAACACAATGATTCAGCCCAAATCCTCAATATTACTTTAAGGAATGGCACTCATGAGTGAGACGTGAGAGCTTTGAGAAGGTTGCAGGCATTGACATTTTTTGGTCCCAAATGACACCAACTCTGCCTGCATAAAATACTAGTCCTGGCAGGAAGCACCAGCGGCTCCTCACCACATAGGAATGAAAATAAGTGGCAAACAGGAAACCGCATTTATTTTTTACTACAAGTCAGCCAAACTCCCACACCTGTGCTGTGCATTCCCTCTGTTGGGCGTCACAAAGGGCAGCAGGAAAGTGACACTTTCCTCCTCCCTTTCTCCCAAGAAGCCGCCTCCCTGCTGAGTAGCGTCTGTGAGGGCACGCAGGGCAGCGCAGCCGAGATGGTTCAGGGGAAGCCTGCGTCCCCCAGCCCCGACCCCGCAGGCCAGTCACTCAGCAGTCGGCCCTCCCGGGGATGCTGGGGGCTCCTGGCAGGAGCTCTGGGGACAAGGTAGCATTTGGTGAAACACCCCATCCAGGACACAACTGAGTTACAAGGCAGAACAAGTTGCTGCTGGAAATCATCCTGTGATGAGATGACTTGGAAGGAAGCGATCTGCCCTGAGAGCCACTGGCCACGTTCCCTGCTTCTCACTCACCGGGATGGATAAGTTCAGTTCAGTCGCTCAGTCGTGTCTGACTCTTTGCGACCCCATGAACCACAGCACGCCAGGCCTCCCTGTCCATCACCAACTCCCGGAGTCCACCCAAACCCATGTCCATTGAGTCAGTGATGCCATCCAACCATCTCACCCTCTGTCATTCCCTTCTCCTCCTGTGCCCAATCCCTCCCAGCATCAGGGTCTTTTCTAATGAGTCAGATCTTCATATCAGGTGGCCAAAGTATTGGAGTTTCAGCTTCAGCATAGTCCTTTCAATGAACACCCAGGACTGATTTCCTTTAGGATGGACTGGTTGGATCTCCTTGCAGTCCAAGGGACTCTCAAGAGTCTTCTCCAACACCACAGTTCAAAAGCATCAATTCTTCGGTGCTCAGCTTTCTTTATAGTCCAACTCTCACATC